ATACGTCCCACTGTAGAGGCCCCAGGGCAGACCCAAAACTCACTGGAGGAATTGTGCATATTTTCTGGACTGGGAATGTCTCAGCAGAGGAGCTGGAGAGTGTGACTGGGCACAAGGATGTCTGGGTTTCTCTCCTTGGCCTGTTGTCTCCATACTGATGTGGAAGAAGACAGAAGGTGGCCATCAATGCCCAAATGTTGATTCAAAGACACACAAATGACTAAAAATAAATGAAAAGTTTGCTAAGACCACCTACACAAAGGTGTATCAGAAAAAAAGTCACACAGAAACAAACAACCATTCAATAAATACCACCACATAGTGACTGAATGTTGACTTTTTTGCTGCTAGATGTCAAAAATTAGTAAGAAACATTAACTAGAAATAAATAACACTAATATTCACTGATATTTTCTATTTTTCTATAAAGGTCATCAGTACAGGAGTTGTCTCTGATTGAACTCTGACTTTAATAACAAAAAGGTTAATTTGTGTCATCTAGACCAGTTTCTTTAAGTGAGAAACATTTCGTCCTCCATCCAGAGGACTTTGTCAGTCTGCAGCCTGCCAACCAGATCTGTCCCATAGGTATCCTTCACTGCTGTGTTTCAAGCCAACCTCCTGTTGGAATCTCAGATGTAGACTTAAGAACAATCAATCATCATGTACAACAATCAAATGTTTTAGGACAGATGGCCAACTTGCTCACTCTGCACTTAAATAAACTGGTCCAGATGATGCAATTTAAACTTTTTTGTTGTTATCTACCTGGATGATTGAGTTTACAACCGGTATTCTGACTTTAACTTTTATAGTTCTGGGCTTGTCAGAGCATGCTTGCAAGGAATGTGCAAGTCAAGTATTCTTTTTACCAAATTCACAAGCTAGTCCAAAAGTGACCAAAAGTGGATTTGTGCTGTCTTAAATCAACTAAAGATTTGTAGCTGTTCATGTGAACTCAATGGACTTTACGAACATTTACACAGTTTTACTGTCCACGTTTTTTTAAAGAACTTCAAGGTTGTTAGATAAGGAGTGCTTGCTGCAGCACTTAAGTTGGTCACTTTTGTTTGAAAAATTATAACATTTCTGTTAGAATAATTGTTTAATGCAAAACGGACAAAACTCTGAAACTTTTGACACTGGAGTTGTTTTAATTGGGCACCAGTACCGTTTAGTCTTGGTCTAACTAAGGCTAAAAGTTAGCTCGTTATTCAGGTCAGACTGTTTACAAACTGCGATTTTTCAAAGCACTATCTATGACAGTTCTGGACCTTTCCCCAAACCACTAACATTGATCACCTCTGCACAGGAAGCCTTTTCAAATAATTCATGGGAAAAAATGTTTCAATCTCAAAGAGACTGGATTATTTTGGCTTGAATGTGTCTAAACTGCAGCAAAGATACAAACGCCCAAACACTCAAAACTTTATTTGTGTACTTGGGGGTACGTGGCACTGCTGTGCATCAAGAACAAGCCTCTTCACACCCACAGCTCCTAACTTCTTCTGACTTCTTCCCCACCAATTCTTTGTCTGGTTCTGTTCCTTCCTTTCCTCCCTCCTTCGCTCTCTCTCCCGACATCAAAAATGTATTCATGTAATTAAGCTGCTAATACACCGTCAAAGAATTGTCTAATTCAGCAAGGAGGAATTAAAGGAATCTGGCATGAGTCATTAGCCAGTCGAGATGTTCTGTTCAGCGTTTTCAATAAGGGATCTGGAGAGCCATGAATCACTTATATGGCGTGAAAACACTCTCTGCAGCACATGCCCTGTAGTTTATATTTGTACCATGGTATATATAAGCGTGCGCGAGCCTGGTGTTAATTGCCATTTGAGAGTGTGAAAAATTGTACGTGGGTGAGGTAAAGAAAAACCATTCACAGCATATAATCCATCTAAACAATCAACCAATGCAGTGAATTATTGTCCATTGTAAACATTTAGATATTCTGGGCGAGTGACTTAATTGCAATCAATGTTGTGAGCACAAAGAGGAAGGAAAAAAAAACCTGCAAGAGAAGGAAGAAGAAACACTCGGTGCTCACATAAAGGCTGAATGTTAGGCAGGCAGACTGAAAACAGCAGGTTTTTTTTATAACACGACAGGAAAATTCTAGCCTTCGCTAAGTGCCTAATAGTGTGAGCTTGAAGACGTTCCACTTTTCATTGATGCTCTCAAATTGGCCCGTTTTTGATCCACACACACAGAGTCTACCTGTTTGCACCCACGGCTCATTTGTCTTTTAAAACTCTTCCAAAGAACGATGCACAGGAGACGAATATGGGAAAGCTTTTGCTTTTTCTGATCAACCATCAATTACCTCCTCCTCTGGGGAAGACGGAGGGTGAAAGACAATGGGTGCATGCGAGACTGGGCTTTTCAGGGGAATGCTGAGGCTTGGTTGTGGAGAACTCGAATCCTTGATGAGCTCACTGTTTGGCAGCTTTAATTGTGCTGTTGCGTGACACAGGCAGGAGGGCGCCAAAGGGGTGAACGAGGAGAGAGGGTTTAAGGTTGAACCCGTGGTGCACCCAGAGATGAAGTGGGTAATTGAGTGCAGAATAAACACCGCCAACAACCTCGGAAGCTCCACTTTCAAAAGGAGAAAAAAGGAAAAGAAAATAGTGAGAAAGAGGGGGACGAGACGAGGAAAGAGAAAAGGGTGAGACAGAAAGAAAATCCCATCTACCCTCTGGGGGGAAAAGCTGCTATTGAAAAGCTATTAAACTTGCATTTAGCAGGATTGATTGGAAATGAAGAGGCCTATTAAAAGAGAGGGACAAGAGGACAATAGCGTGTCTCTGGCCACCGTATGTTGCCCTCCTTTCAGTGTCTTTCTTTGCTGTGGATGGGGGGGGGGGGGGGGGCCCACCCATTCTGTTTAAGCGCTCCCACCAAGAGAAGCAGTTGGGGTGGGGGGCTTAGCTGTGGCTGAATGAACCGTCTTTAGTCTTTATCTTCCTTGGTCCCCCTTCCATTCTCCACCGAGCAACAAAGAAATAAAGATGGAGAATGAAGAAAGTTCTTTTTTTTTTTTTTAAATCCTCTTCCCAAATCACAGACACCCCACTTGGATAACCAACCAACTGCCTCTCCCCATCACCTCCTCCCCCCCCCCCCCCCCCAATGGATTTGTTACCTCTGGAGCGTTGCCATCTTCGCTCAGCCACTGAGATTTGTAATACTCAATCTTTTAGCATAGCACCACACAACAGTTGGAGCTGAGAATCTGCGTTCACGCTGGGTTTTCTTGCATACATGTGCGCGTGTGAAGGCGAGCCAGCCAATCCAGAGAGACGGCGTGCCTTGCTTAAACACAGCAGCGAAACGGCAGCAGGTGTCTCCGCTGACTTTCAGCAGGCTCAAACGGATAGTTCCCCTGGGAACTTTAATGGAGTTTTGATTGTTTAACATCCATTTTTACACACGCACGAAGAAAATGCACTGCAAGAGTGGCAGATTTTTTTTTTCTTCCCCAGAAAGTGTGCTTGCTTCATGTGGGTGAGCATACAACCATATGGTCTTTTGAAACAGTTAAATAAGTTATGAGGTTCTGCTAACTCTTACTTTTAGAAGCCACATTTGAAGGGGAAAGAAATTATATAGAAGTAGCTTTACACATGTCAGCCTTGTTCATTTTGCTCAGCAAGTGCCCAAATGTGAACTGTCCAGTTCATGGCCATCTTTGGAGTCAGCCTCCCCACCATCACAGAAATCTACACCTCCAGATGCAGGAAGAGGGCCACCTGCATCATGAAGGACCCCGCTCACCAAGCACACACACTTTTTGCCCTGCTCCCCTCAGAAAAGAGGTTAAGTAGCATTCAAGCCCCCAGTATACTGCCGCGTACGTCTGTTCATGCGTACGTACGCGTGTACTGTACGCAGAGGGTTCAGACATGATACTCCAGCGTACACCCCAGCAGCTGCAGAGCAGCTTCACAGACAAGGGGCGTTTAGCTTCAGTACAAATTGAGGTCGCCGATTGGTCATTTGCTGACACGCCCACTGGATTGATTGACAGGTCGCAAAAAAGAAAAAAGCGAGCGCTGGCAGCCTCAGCCACAGTGGTGTTCTGTGTTTATATGTTGTTAATAAAAAGATCTAAAAGAAGAAAAAAAAAAACAGCGCTGGCTGTACAGCCCACACATCAGACCAGCCCACCAGGAAATCTCCAGACCCTCCCGCAGCCACGCTGGACCTGAGTTTAATTCGCTCGATACAAATTCCTTCATTTCGCACCATTTCAGTCATGGCATGAACGGAAGAGGAAGAGATCACTGCCTCTTGGCAAAACAACAAAAGAAAAGGCCAGATCAGAGATGAAGAAGGGGAATTTAATACATTGGTGTCGCATACAAAACAGTCCGTCGCTGGGCAGTTTATTGTGCGACACCGCGTACGCGGTCGTAAAAATTTGAGCTTTGCACCGACATGCCCTGGGGGGTACGCTCGTACCTCCACGTACGTACATGTGTACCTCTGCGTATGGACGTACGGGGCAGTATACTGGGGGCTTAAGTGTAGAACCACTAGACTGAGGAACAGCTTCTACCCTGAGGCTGTTAGACTCATTAATATCTAACCTGGATAATCTCTGTGAAAAATCACATGTTGCTGCTGATCTTTTTCATGTTGCTGCGGATTTATTTCATGTTGCTGTGTACATTCATACTCATCTGCTCACACAGATTCATGTTTGGGCTGCTGTTCGGCGTATTGTTTTTATATTACTAGTGCTTAGCAAATTTTTAATTAACGTTTTTCTAGTTCATATCTTAGATCTTATTACTGTTTTTCTTTTACATTTTATTGTTGGATGTAACTGGGACCCTGTGTACATAATCTCATTCCACCACATGTACCACATGTGGTGCGAATGACAAAGAAACTCTGACTCTCTCTGACTGATCTTTTTCACACTCTACAGAAAAAAAGTTATGTTTTCTGATTTTAATAACACTTACATTGCCATTTTTCTGTTCTTCTCCTAGCAGCCACCCAAGCAGCCTACTTCTCCCAACAGCCCCAGGACCAGGTGGTGGTGTCAGGTCATTCGGTGACCCTACCTTGCGTCATTGTGGGCTACAGAGGAATGGTACAATGGACCAAAGATGGTCTTGCCTTGGGTGGAGAGCGAGATCTACCAGGTACAATCACTAGCCTTTACTTTAAACACCCTCCCTCTCTGAATTTATTGTCCCCCGTGTCTCTTGTGTTGTTGCAATCAATGCCAGGTCTCATTAGAAATCAGCCCCCTCTCTCTGTCAAACCGTTGGGGTTTTACACAAATGAATGGCGAAGGAAGAGCGCTCCGCTGACAGATCAGCCTACTGCTGCACACACCAAACTTTAATTTGTTGCTTAGCATTTTAAGAGTCTTGTAGCAAGGAGGATAATCAATTGGCTTTTGTCCTGCACTGACATTTAAATGTGTAGCCAAGTAGAGAGAGAGCGGAAAGGCTTCCTCTTGACCTTAGCAACCCCATTTTTATTGTGTCTGTGTTTAAAGGACAGTCTTCATGCAGCAGCCCCTCTCACGTGTTGCATGTTTCTCGCCTCATGCTGCTTAACACAACAGCTCAATGCCTGGCCCTGAAAGGTGCATGCATACTTTCATTTGGAGCTAAAAAAAAAAGAGCTTTTCCACATTCTTTTTATCTTTGGTCTTTTGTTTGGAGCACAAATCTGTTTATTTTTCCAGTTCTTTTGGCCATGTTGTGCCTTTGGATTGTTTGCACCTTACTCTATTCTCTGTGCTGGCTTCATGCAGGCTGGACTCGCTACTCCTTAATGGGCGACCCGCTATCAGGCGAGCACAGCTTGGTGATCGATTCAGCGGAGCTGGTGGATGATGCGGTGTATGAGTGTCAGGCTACACAGGCGGGGCTCCGATCCCACCGTGCCAAGCTCACTGTACTAGGTAAGATACACAGCTCACTTATGATCCTTGCAGCCATCCACCTCCTCCCCCTCATGCCAAGGCTGCAGGCTGGCAGGGCTCTGGGGGAAGAAAAAAAACATCAGTGTCTTCATCACGTAATGCCAAAGCAAGATTATCAGGCATTCGTGTAAATTGTCTGTATCAGTTCATTTGTTTTTACTTATGAAAGCCAAATATCTGATGAACTATAGTATGAATTTTAATGAAACACTCAGAAAGTAATCACTTAATGTGTGTTTTCAACCGATTACCATATTGTTCGCCATAAACAGTAAGTTGCACCTGTTTGCATAAATTTGCAAGTCCTGTGACGTATACACTGAAGCGAAGTATTTATGTTTTTTCTTTCATATTTATAACCCAATTTTTGACTGCAATCTGACGATTTCATTCATTCTAACATGAAAAATATTAAACATTACTGTTTGCAGCTGCTAGAGGGCCCTCGAGAATTATGGCAAGCCAAGTGTCTCATTAATAGGTAAAAATGGCTATTAATGAGACAATTGGCTTGCCATACTAAGCCACTTTCATCTCGCTCCAGAACTCCTGGAGCAAACGTCAAATCAGCTGCAGTTTGCCTCAACGCTCAGGCGAACTGCAGATGATTTGACCTTTAAAGTGCATTCATTAAGTAAAATTTCAACTGAAACATACTTTTACTATAATGTCACGCAAACAAATAATTGTTTTTAGGTGGTTATCTTGGTAAATTTTGAAGAAATGCACAGCGAGTCGTCCCCCCTGCGCGCTTCAGCAGCCACAAATCGATTTTTGAAATGCAGCTGATTTGACCATTGAAGTGCATTTACCTGTGTTAGGAAAAAAGTTAAACCAAGACACACCTTTGCTATAATGTTGAGCAAACAATTGTTTTGTAAGTGTTAATCTTGTAAAATTCTTGTTAAAGTCCTCCCATGCGTGCTCCCGCAGCCACCATTTGGCAGCCAATCGATTTTTGACACACCGGCCCACGTTTCCGGGTGGTCAGCGATGATGCATAACATTTTTGGACTGATGCGACTTATATAGTAGTGTGACGTGTATGGCGGCAAGTACGTTACTATTAAAGTCAGACAGATACTGAGCAACAGTCTGGTGTGGTAGTAGCTGAGAGTGATCCTAACACAATGCTAATAAGAGCTTTGTTTAAATTTAAAATTTTTAAATTTTGGCATGAACAACAGCAAGTGATATGCATTCCTTCATGAAATGTTGGTCTCACTCTAAATTTAATTATAACACAAACGACGACTTAAAACTGATAACATTAAAATACACTCTGGTTAAAAATACATTGGAGCTCTCATATTCAAAGCCTCTTTAAGAACATGTCATAAAAAGAGGAAGCAAGCAAAGAAAAATAAAATAAAATGAAAAGCCTCTTCTTTTAGAGGCAATAATCAAGACTGTTCAGGTCCAAGATAATGTGATTGCTGCAGTCACAAACCACTTGCACAGTCGCCTGAAAGTCCAGATCTGCACAGTTAGCACATTTCACAGTGAGCCATAACATCTATCAGCCACAAAGGCAGCTTTTTTTTACATTAACGTGATGTGAGTGATCTACATCTTCACACATTGGAGGGTTTGTGTGTGTGTGTGAGTGAGTGTGTGTGTGCGCGTGTGGGGGGGATTAGGAATGACAGATCTTGTGGGACTCTGTAAAGCACTGCTGGCATCTGGTGGCTTACAAAGGAATACCACTTCATTAATTGGCCCCATCGATAGTTAAATTACTCCTGAAGCAAATCAGAAGCTGCAGATTATGACCAGGAGAACTTTTTCCACTACAAATCCTGCCCTGTTTGAATCTAAAAGTGGCCATTAACTGAAGAAAAACTGTTAGAGATAAAGATGTTCAAACCACAAGTGATTAGTAGGAACATTTCAACTGAACTTTTTAGCTTGAAGTCAATAAATACCCCTCTAAAAGACCCAAACTGGCAGTAATAAGAACATTGTATGTGTGACACAGACATATAAATGAAATCAGCCTGCAGTTTGTGAGACCATGAGCTGAAGAAGGAGGGGCAGAGAGACTGTGTATAAATCAATGTGGCCAGATGAAACCAAAGCAATCCTGCACACAGTCAAAGGAGTCAACGGTGGGAGTGCAGTCAGGGGAATCGGCATGGAAATTAAAATCACCTAGCACTCGGATTCCATTAGTGTCCGTGCTGCTGCAACGGAAGGACCTCTGACAATTCAGATACACACAGTGAAATTGGTTCGGTGGAGGGTGCGAGAAAGGCCAGCACAAACCCCATGTTTACGCCTTCTCTTATTGGTCCTGGGGAGATAGACGCCTTCATCAGGGGTGGCACGCTTGGCTTGCCGGTGGTGCGTGCGAAACCATGCAAATAAATGAACAAATAAGCAATTCGGCTGCAATTCAGCTGCAACATCGCTCCGCCACGGCAGGAGCAAATAGACTAATAATGTTAGTCCCAAGAAAGGAAATAAATAAAGTTGAATGTTTCTCTTTTCTTTCCTTGTGAAATAACAGCTGTTCTTCGCCTTTTCTCGGGTGTAAAACCACATCTCGTTAACAGACGCTTGGCAATTTTGTCGTGTATTGACGCAGAGCTAAGAGAAACGACAAATTCAATCGCAGTTTTTCTTCAGTTCTTGCCTAAAATGGTCTGTTTTTGAGCGGGTGTTTGTTTTGCTCTGCAGTTGCTCCCTCTGACCCCGTGGTGGAAGGCAGCCCAGTCGTACGGCTCAAGGCCCACACGCCACATAATCTCACCTGCCGAGCCTCAGGAGCCAAACCTGCTGCAGAGATCACCTGGTACAGAGATGGAGAGGTCATGGAGACCGCCATTTATTCCAAGGTACACTGTCCATGCCCAGTATTTCCGTTCAATCACCAACACGCAGCAGAAGATAGAAATAAATGTAAAACAATCCTAAACAAGAATATTTGTGTAAATGCAGATCACACTATAGCAATCCTGTTTCTCTTTATTCTTCGTCTTTTCTTTTATATGGTTTTCTGCATCCTTTAGGCTATTTTGCCCATTCCACTGTCAACATGTTCAAGTCAGTAGGGTACTTTAGCCACTAACTTAGTTATTTTAACTTTTATAATTTTAATATGAATACATTTTCTTTATAAAAAAAAGTACATTACAATCTGTAACGCCGTTTGCGTTGATCAATTTGAAATCTATTTCAGTTTAGTTGCTTTATTTTTGTTTTACTTTGCTACTTTTACCTAGTATTTTGCTACTTTTGGTTCTGATCTAGCCTTTAGCTACTTTTTGCTTTTACGGTTAAGGATAGCTGTGAGCTACTTTCAATAAGCATTTTGTTACTTTTAGCTTTTAAATTGTGTTTTTATTGTTTTATTTGTTATTATTATTTATTTTATTGTGTTGTTGTTTAATTTCCCTCTGGGATTAATAAAGTATTTTTGAATTTGAATTTTGATCCCTTCAGATAGTGATTTACAGCTTTTTAGTTTTATCTATCACTTTGCTGCGTGTACCTTTTGGCTAGCTTTTTGCTAATTTTAGGTTTGTTTTTAGCTAGTGTCTTGTTTGAAAATTTAGCTGGAGTTAGTTATTTTTTAGGTAACATTTTTCTACTTTATCTTTTAAGTCATGATTTGATTCCATTAAGTTGGTGTTTTGCAACTTTTAGCTTTGAGATAATGTTTTGTTATTTTTAACTTTAAGTTTGTATTGTGTTAGCTAGCTATTGTTTTACATTAGGCTAGCATTATGAAATAAAGTAAAGTGCAATGTGTTGTCATTATTGTATGTTCCCATACAATGGCGAAATTGGTTCTCTGCATTTAAACTATCGCACCTGGGATACACCCATAACTCTTTTAGTTTCAACTAATGTTCTGCTACTTTTAGCTAGCATTTTATTAGCATTTGCTTGCTTCTCACCCATTTGCAGAACTCATATTTTGCTTTTAGCTTTAACAACTCAACTCAGACTTATTCAGAATTTTTTTTATCTTACGATGCTCAGCATTCACATTGCATTTTTGCAGAAAATCACATTTCTCTGGTTTCTCTTGTGGTGCAACAACTCATTCACATTTTCACCCATTTTCTGTTTATTTTTCCCTCATCCTTCTCCTTTTTTCATCACAGTTTTTTTTTTTTTTTTATCTATTGCCACCCTTTCCTTGTGAGATTTGTTCTCTCACACTCTGCAGTCCCCCTCCCATTTCCACTCACGCCTGACCCCCCACCTTCTTCTCTTCTGCCTCCCCTCTCTTCCCCTCTACTCCACCTCCCTAGTTGCTTGCTAATGCAGCGACACTACAGCATAACTGGAGCATGCCAAAGCTCAGACAGGCATGAGGGGTTCATACAGTAGGGTTTCTGCAGAAAGGAATTCACTCACAACAATGTGGAGACACAATGTGGGGGTGGTGGGGGGGGCTTGGTCAGCAAAGCGTGAGCTGGCCACGGCTGGGAAAGTGTCACATCTTTCATGCTCTCTGACCACGCTAAACGATGCTAAATGCCACGTTTAGGGAAGCCTGCAGTGAGAAGGAGGAGGGGGGTATTAGGACTGGAGGGGGGACAAGGGGGATGAGAGGAAAACAGAAGGGGCATGACTGTAGAGGTAACTGGTGAGGCAGCTTTGTTGAAAAACAGAGAATTTCCATCGTCATTTTCAAATTTGAGGCAGGAGTTACACAAAAGCTTTGTCCGAGGAAGCGGCATTGACAGAGAGCGATGTGATTTGATCTAGCATAAAAATGCTTTTTGTGTCAGGCTGAGGAAGTGAAGGACCTTCTCCATTGATTTGGCTGTCAAGGGAAAAGCTTTAGCTTTTTAAAGATGTGTGACACTTCTTCCTCAGTGTCACCACCCTGAAAATGGATATAAAAAACGAACACATATCAGTGTGGCTCCTGCAGATTTAATTTTTCCCCTTTTCTCTGTGAGAACCCAAAAGATAAAGTGGAGGAAGCGGTGAGCCATATCCCAAGAATCCACACCTTTCTTCACTTAGAAGTATTGATTTCTTAGCAGTAAATAGATTTAAAAGATGATGACAAACAAGGAGCGCTGACAGAGAACACTCTCAGAAATGTGGGAACAGCACAATATCCCCAGCTACATCGTAAAATATGTGATTTACCTGACATGCCAGGAAACAGAATAGCAATTTTAAGGCTTCATACATGAAAAATACGTCCTGCTGGGCCAGGGGGTAGTCACTATTTTGTGCAACACTGAGCTGATTTCTGGTTTTGTTTGTTCTTGTCCTCCATCTATCCAGACACCAATGGAAGATGGGAAGAGGGAGACAGCTGTCAGCATGCTTCCAATCGTTCCCGAAGACAGCGACTCCGGACGCACCTACACCTGCAGGGTCCTCAACCCAGCTGCCCCCGCTGGACGTCAGACATCAGTCACAATCAATGTCCAGCGTGAGTCCTGCGTCCACTTGTCCAAAACGATCTTTAATCTAACCAGAGAGTATTGGCTATTTCTGTACAATGTCTTCAGTGGTAAAGTTGCCCTTTTGAGTCTAACATGATCATTTTTGCTTCTCAAAGACCCCCCTTCAGTGACATTATCGGTCCAACCTCAAACTGTGACAGAGGGGGCCAAGGTTCTCTTCATCTGCTCTGCTTCAGCAAATCCTGAGATCACTGGTTACAGGTATCCATAAACTTTAGTTCCCTTTAAAATATGGCATAGCTGTGTGTAGTTGTTCTCTTTGAGCTACATGAGCTGCTTGAATGGCAGCATTTGATTGGCACAAGCCTCAAATCAAGTAATGGCCGCTTGGAAATGCGCAGCTAATTGCCTTCCCTGAACGAATGCAACAGTATAATGTGATTATTCGTGTGTCCAAGGTGGTCAAAAGGAGGAGTGCCTATCTCTGAAGCGAATGGGGACAGCCTTGAGGTGACCGTGGACTACTCTTACTTTACTGACCCCGTCTCCTGTGAGGTGTCCAACTCTGTGGGCAGCACCAACGTCAGCACCCTGGTAGATGTGCAGTGTAAGTTTAACTAATACAAAAGGAAACATTTTATGCTTTGTAGCTGTATTTTGGAAAACAATAAAATAAATAAGCCTCTGACCCGACTGAGAATTATTGAATTTGGTACCTGGATGATTGAGCATGAACTTTGTTGTTTACGCAAAGAGTAGTTCCCTACTCATTCCAATGGGTTGTTTGCACCCCTAGTTGGCCCCAGACTTCTGTCGGAGCCTAAGCCGATGACCGTGGACACTGGAATGGACGCAGCCTTTACTTGCGCGTGGACAGGAAACCCTCCGCTGACCCTGGCCTGGACAAAGCAAGGCTCCAGTGTGGTAAGGAAACAAACACCACATGCCACTTTGTCTGAATGGAAAAGCCTCAACACTCTTCCTCCAGAGAGAAACGTTCGCACATGGCCTTGAGGCATGAATCCCACACACCGTTTTTTTTCCCCTTCGACACGTTCTTTTCTCAGACTGAATCTTCAACACCTCTCTCAGCGTGCTCCCCCGAGGGCCGAGCGCCTCTGGCAGAAAGTCGTTTGTCCGCTGACAGATTCATACAGAATAATCGGCACACATGATGCGCTGTCATAACTCCATCGCGATCAATTAGCCAATCAATCAGTCAATCAACCAGTGAGCGAGCCAGAGAGTGGTTCAAACAAACATCGCCGCTACTCAGCTGTACTTCAGTCTTCTCAAAGTCACTGCAGGTGCAACAACAAAACATTTCCACCCTCACTTTACTGCACCCTGGTAAAAGTCTTTTAGCGCGTGCACCATTAAAGGGCCCATCCCACGGGAGCCGCTCTCCTGACAACTAATATAATTTCTGAAGTTGTGCTGAAGAAAGCACCCCTCTACCGACTGCTGCTGGATAAAATAAGTGATGCAGTCATCTCAAACAAAAGAGTGCTTTCAGCCACTCTTAGGAAAATGCACAGGCATTTTTCTAATCCACCCACTGCCACTGTCCCTCACACAGCCATGAGTAATGGATTAATTGGGTTACTCTGTAAGTGTGTGTGGAAATAAAAAAATGGTGAGAGTAAGAGGGAGGATGTGGAGATGGGGGGTGGCGGTTGGGGAGAGAGACAGAGTGGGAATAAATGGATTAATCACAGCTTGATGGAATGACAGGATCAATGAGCTAAGGAGTGAGTGAGTGGAGGAGCTCCGGAGGCCGGGGCCCACTCACACACAGCGAGCTGCGATCTGTCCCCACTGTTTAATTACAACAATCTCCCCAGCAGCACGGTCACTCAGCGGTGGCTGGAGTGCTTAATGCTGTGATTAAAGCTCTTCACAATGAAATTAAACTCAAACTGGCAGCATTTGTTACAATGGTCAGCCCACCTCTGTGCTGCCTCCGCAGTGAGGGGGCCACTGATGAAGGTTCATGTTTCCTTTTGTCCGACTCTGCCCTCCGCTGCCTCGTTTCTCGCTTTTTCTCTTTCTAACACGTTTCACACTTGTCTCTTTGGATCTCACACTAGGTGCTCAGTAATGGTAACACCTTGCAACTGAAGGCTGTTACCCAGGAGGATGCTGGGACATACACCTGCAAGGCCATTGTTCCTCGGATTGGAGTTGCAGAAAGAGATGTCACTCTAACTGTGAACGGTGAGTGACTTCTTCAGGGAAAAACGTCGTACTATAACAAAGGATTTCTCTTCAGCAAAACTTTGAAGCTACTTATAGTTGAGTATGATTTTTCCAACAGTAAATCCAAACATTTCATAAAGAAATGCAGTTTTAAACTAAAATCCTCTTTTGTTGGGAAGGGATAGAGGTTTGAGCTCTAGTTCAAGGTTCTTTATTGTCATTCCATCACATGTGGTACATCGGGTGGAATGAAATTGTGTACACAGGGTCCTAGTTACACCCAAAAATAGCAAAAATATAAAGTATAAAAAGAAACAGTATATAAGGATCTAAGATATACGCTAAACAATGTGTTAAAATATCTGATATACGTTAAACATTAATCATGTAAAATAATACAGTACAACCCGGATTCCAAAAAAGTTGGGACACTAAACAAATTGTGAATAAAAACTGAATGCAATGATGTGGAGATGGCAAATGTCGATATTTTATTCGTAATGCAACATAGATGACAGATAAAAGTTTAATCTGAGTAAATGTAACATTTTAAAGGAAAAATATGTTGATTCAAAATTTCACAGTGTCAACAAATCCCAAAAAAGTTGGGACAAGTAGCAATAAGTGGCTGGAAAAAGGAAATTGAGCATATAACGAACAGCTGGAAGATCAATCAACACCAATTAGTTCAATTGACAACATGATTGGGTATAAAGAGAGCTTCTCAGAGTGTCAGTGTCTCTCAGAAGCCAAGATGGTAAGAGGATCACCAATTCCACCATTGTTGTGCAGAAAGATAGTGCAGCAATACCAGAATGGTGTTACCCAGTGTAAAATAGCAAAGACTTTTAAGTTATCATCAACCGTGCATAACATCGTCAAAAGATTCAGAGAATCTAGAACAATCGCTGTGCATAAAGGTCAAGGCCGTAAAACTCTACTGGATGCTCGTGATCTCCGGGCCCTTAAACGTCACTGCACCTAAACAGGAATGCCACTGTCAAGGAAATAACAGAATGGGCTCAGGAATACTTCCAGAAAGCATTGTCAGTGAACACAATCCACCGTGCCATCCGCCGTTGCCAGCTGAAACTCTACAGTGCAAAGAGGAAGCCATTTCTAAGCAAGCTCCACAAGCTCAGACGTTTGCACTGGGCCAGGGGTCATTTAAAATGGAGTGTGGCAAAATGGAAGACTGTTCTGTGGTCAGATGAGTCACGATTTGAAGTTCTTTATGGAACACTGGAACACCATGTCATCCGGACCAGAGAGGACAAGGATAGCCCAAGTTGTTATCAACGCTCCGTTCAGAAGCCTGCATCACTGATGGTATGGGGTTGCATGAGCGCTTGTGACATGGGCAGCTTGCATGTCTGGAAAGGCACCATTAATGCAGAGAACTATGTTCAGGTCCTAGAACAACATATGCTCCCATCCAGACGTCATCTCTTTCAGGGAAGACCCTGCATTTTTCAACACGATAATGCCAGACCACATTCTGCAGCAATCACAACATCATGGCTACGCAGGAGAAGGATCCAGGTACTGAAATGGCCAGCCTGCAGTCCAGATCTTTCACCTATAGAGAACATTTGGCGCATCATAAAGAGGAAGGTGCGACAAAGAAGGCCCAAGACGATTGAATTAGACATGAATGGGAGAGCATTCCTATTTCTAAACTTGAGAAACTGGTCTCCTATGTCCCCAGACATCTGATGTGCTGTAAGAAGAAGGGGGGATGCCACACAGTGGTAAAAATGGACTTGTCCCAACTTTTTGGGGATTTGTTGACACCATGAAATTTGGAAACAACAGATTTTTCCCTTAAAATGATACATTCTCTCAGTTTAAACTTTTGATCTGTGATTTGTGAATAAAAAATTATAAATTAAATTAATTATAATTAAATTAATTATAAATTAAATTCTAAATATAAAATTAGATGTTGGCACCTCCACATCATTGCATTCAGTTTTTATTCACAATTTGTTTAGTGTCCCAACTTTTTTGGAATCCGGTTTGTATATTAAACAGCTGTCCGAACACGAGTCTGTAGTGAGCAGATAGGTATGAATGAATACAGCAGCATGAGATAATCAGCAGCACGAGATCAGCAGCATGGATAATCAGCAGCACAGATACAGTAAGTCACATGTATACAACATTATGCCGAATCTCATTGCAAGATGTGTTTGCACTTAGAGAATGTGTTGAGAGTGATTCTCAGCTACTACCACACAAGAATTTAGCTCAGTGTCTGTAAAATTGACTGTTAGCCCTTTTTGTGTTTGCTAATGTTGATTAGCTGTGACAGCCATCATAAAAGGGATTAACCCCCAACTGTAGACATACATCCAGTAATGTTTATGGAATTTTTTTTTATACATCTTCAGGTTCATGAGGTATTTCGCAAATGCTACATTAATATTAAACCTTTATTTTACCAGGAAGAACAAGCAAAATACAAACAAAGACATGCAAAGATGCAGACATGTGCAAGCCTAAATGAATGCATTTTTTTTTAACAAAATGCATCATTAAATTTAATTGTGAATGTATTTTCCTTTTAGAACAAATTGTTGTCTGAGTTCAGTAAAGTTAAAAAGCTGCAGAAACTCTGACTTTCCTGATGAAAAACTTTTTATGAAACCATCAAATTGTCATTACGCAGCATCTCCTCTCAACAACAGAGAAGTAAAAAAAATATACTAAGGCCAGATTTTAACCAAAACAATTCAAACTCTGGGCAGGATGAATTTCTAGAAACCATCATTGAAGTAACAGTAGATTAAAAATGATCTGAAATATAACAAATATGCACGTTTTAGCTGTTTGGATGCCATTAAAAGATCTAAAAAAAAAAAATTCATTTACCCTTTTCTTATACAGGTAGTGAGAACTCATTTTCAAGAGAGACCTGTTTAGGGAGCAGATGGGGGGTTAAGGGCCTTGCTCATGGGCCCAGAGTGGGGCGAATGAGGGTGGGGGCAAGTGTGGGTGCTTCACCTACCCCACCCACATTTTTAATGTTGTCGGTACCAGGGTGTGAACCGGCGATCTACCGATCACAGGCCCACCTTCTCTAACCTCTCCGCCACCACTCCCCAAATGCTTAATTTGTCTATATGCATATGATTTTGGTGACAACACAGGCAATAGCACTGAATGTAAAACCAACATGGACCCTTAAACCCCCGTTTTACTTTGAGCGTGTTTTTGTCCGATTCCTCGCCCACACCAAAAACAAAGACAAGCAACGCCTGTTGCTCACAGACACCAGCTTTATTGTAAATGTGAATACAGTAGTCCCTTATTTATCGTGGGGGTTACATTCCAGACACACCCGCGATAGGTGAAAATCTGCAAAGTAAAGAAGGACGTTATATTTATTTTAGTATTTAAATATATTTTAAGGCTTTATAAACCATTCCCACACTTTTGCAATGTTCTAAACTCTAAACTCTCTAAAAGAGCTCAGCGTGTCAGGATCTTCACCCTCTGCCACCTGCCACACCCACTTCTCCGCTGCAATCACACTTATGCGCATGACCTGCGTCACTCCCAATCTCCCTCCTGCTGCATCTGTGTGCTGCACTTCTCAAGCGCACCCCAGTTTCTGCCTCCCTGCCAGATTGTCTGATCGCCTCTTCCCTGAAGCATCCAGCATTCTTGTCCCAGCTATCGTTCCTAAAGGCTCGGTTTGGGTTGCGCTTGATTATTTTGAATAAACAATCCATGCCGTTCATGCGGCTCACTCAGGTATAAGACAGAACCCCTGCCCACTCCTTTCTTTTTCCGAGGCTGTCTGTTGTTTGGCGTATTGTCTAGTGCTTAGAGTATTCTTAGTTATGCATATTTCTTTGTTCATATGTTAGATCTTATTACATTTTTTCTTTACAATTTATACTTTTGTTGGATGTAACTGGAACCTTGTGTACACGATTTCGTTCCACCACAAGTACCACATGCGGTGCGAATGACCAATAAATTAACTTTGACTTTGACTTACGCGCCTGCCTGTTGTGTGTCTCTGGGAGACGATAGGGAAAGATGGACCCCACCCCACTCCTCCTTTCTTTTTCTGAGGCTGTCTGTTGCATGCCCACCTGTTGTGTGTCACTGGGACATTATGGGGAATATTCAGGTCTCTCTTGTAAATGAGTCCTCGAAGTTCAGTGGGATTTACCTGTCTAAATAAAGGCTGAATGAATGGGGAAAGACAGACCCCACTCTCGCTCCCTCCTTTCTCTTTCTCTGCAGTGACAGACAGCCTCAGAAAGAGAAGGGGGGAGGTCTGTTGTATACAAGAGTGAGCCGCACTCAGCCATTCTCTCGCTCTCTCTTTTTTGTACTATCTTACGTTGAAAACCTGCGAAAAAGTGAATCCGCGAAAGTCAAACAGCGAAGTATCGAGGGGCTTCTGTATATGTTTACTGAACTGAGAGAACCACATGACCTATGTTGTTTGTTTGTTCTTTGTGTATCGTTTTCAGTCCCTGAAATGTTCTGTTAAACCTTTTCTACAGGATTCTGCTTCAATATAAGGCATTTGATTTTGTATTGATCCCTTACCTGATTAATGAGCGCTTTCACTTTTGAAACTGAAAACAAAAATAAACATCTCTGTTTACTTATGCTGGAAAACAGTAAATTTACTTTGAACAGATTATTTTCGTCCTGACAGTTTTATGCAGTTTGCTATTGGTCAGCCATGAAAAACAATTTCTTTTATATTAACTTGTCTCTTGGCTTTCCATTTTCCTCACCACAGGTCCACCTATCATCACAGCAGACGCCATGCAGCACGCTGTCAAGCACTCCAAGGGCAAGCTAGAGTGTCGGGTGGGAAGCAGCCCCCCTCCTGATAAGATTGTAAGCAAATCTCTTATTTGTGCAATAGCTTATTGACTAATCTGTGAAAGCAAAGAAAACTCAGCATTCCTCTAAGTCGCACCTAAATGAGAGTAATAACTCAGGGGAGGTTTAGCCTTGACCTCAGTGTCACACCTTTGCACCGACACGTTCCAACCAACCTATTAAACGACACGCGCTCACACAAACTTACCACTGTAATTGCACAGACAGGCTTGAAATGATGGTAGAGTTAGCGGAACAGCAGGAGACAGGTTTCTCGCAGGTTTCAACCAAACCGCATTCAATTAATGGCCCGAGAGGCATCACTCAGCTGACCCTGTTGAACCGCTGAAGATATGCTGGGCTGAGAGAGGATAATTAGGGTGTGAGGAGGAATGAGAGACGGGTGCCCCGCTGCCCCGTGCTGGAGAAGGCAGCGAGGAGCTGTATTTCAGCTTCCTAAACCTCCTTAGGCCTCACCTGCAGGGCAGACGTGGATGGTAGCTTAAACATGAGCCTATGAGCTGTGTCAGCCCTGGAGCATCTCAGAGGTCAGCAATGGGAAAGCAGAACAGAGACAGAAACTGGTTTTCCACCCAGCAGGAGGCAGGAAACTAAAGTTGAAGAGCTTTGCAGACCTTCACATCGCTTGGAATTTCCTCATAAACCAGGAGCTCACACACTGTTGTTTATTCTTCACAGGTGTGGACATTTGGGGACATGAGTCTGTCCTCTGGGACCTCGGGGCGTTTCTCTGTGCAGACCGTGACCAGTGACCACGGGGTCTCGTCCTCCCTGGTGCTGTCTGAAACTCTGGTGCAGGATTTCCAAACGCGCTACAACTGCACCGCTTGGAACCGCTTCGGCACCGGCACGGCCCTGGTCACACTGAAGGAGCAAGGTACACACCAACAGGAGGCCTGCGCCAACGTTTAATGAAATTTTTTCTACTCGAGTTTAGTGCTGGTTCTTTAGTTATCACCCACCGCCGAAAGGACATCAATGATTGTTGCGTCTATCTATGTGTGCATGAGTGTGTTTGTGTCTGTTAGTAAAATATCTCATGAACCTCAGGGTGAATTTTAATGAAATGCAGGATGTAATTCTTGGATGTATCTTTACATCCAACGGTAAAGTTAATCTACAATTATCTTTTGTTACGATTAACCTTTGGAGTGAAATCGATTCAAAATGTCTACCACAGCCAGCTGACCTTAAACAAAAAAACACAAATTTATCTAACTCTGCCAATTTTACTGCACAACCGCTGGTAAAATTTTATATAGATCACCACCCTTGGAGGATGTTCATGCAATTGTTAAGGTTGCATGTAATAAATGCCAGTCATGCCACAAAACTATCATTTTTCAACATTGAAACCTTCTGGCATTTAAGAATTAATCTAGAAAGAAAGAAATATAATCACTTTAGTCAGTCACAATATTTTAGACCAATTCTGAGTAAAAAAAGAATGCAATCAATCTGTAACTCCTAGTTCTAAAACCAACATCAGATTAATCTGCTAACTAGTCTTCAATTATAAAAGAGTGCTCGCACATTGGAGAGCTGTTGTTCAAAGCAGATGGTTCCAACGTGAATGATGTCAGCTGAGACAAAGGAGAGGATTATAAAATCTCTTCAAAAGAGTAAATTATCACAAAATGTTGCAAAAGGTCTTGGTTGTTCTCAGTCAGCGGTGTCAAAGTACAAACAAAATGAGTAGGTTGTAAAAAAGGAAGCATGCAGACCAAAGACGACTTCAAAGCATCAAGATAGGAAATTTAAAGCTAAATAAAAAATGCACAACAAAACAAATGAGATGTGTGAATTTAAGTTTTTGTAGAAGTTTTGATTCTACCCGTTCAGTTTTTGCAGTCGTTAGTAGTAGTTGTAGTAATTGTAGTAGTTTTTTCCACTAGTGCTGACTAACATTTCCGAGCCATGTCATTTTGAGTGTGATCTATGAACCCCTGCTCAAGATATTAAAAGACCTGACAGTGTTTATGAACACAACAAACGGCGTTCATAAATTCTGCTGAAAACGGCGATTGTGAACGCAGCTCTCTGCACTGGCCAGCATTCACAGTGCACCTGGCAATAGTAAAAATAACAGCAAAAGACTTAACTCAGCATTTTTATTGCCCTGTCTAGAATTAAACTGATTAAATGCTGCACTAACTCAAACTTTTTCTAAGCATGACAGTCACTATGTTTGAACTGCTTGTTGGTCTCCATAACCTCATATTCAGCCAGACAAAAAGCAATTCTTTGCTCTGGCCCAGCAAAGAGTATGTGTTATGTAGCACCAGGTTTTATAGTAGTTGTATAATAATAGTTGCAAAATTGACTGCATTATTGTCATGTTTGTGTTTGATGGGATCGATTAGCTGTGGCTGCCATCTTAAATTGAGTCGACTCCAAAAGTTCAGTCATAGCTGTACATGGAAGATTCTAGAATCTGACCTTTAGGGGTGCTTAACTTAACCCCCCAGTTCTGAAAATGGCTCTTGGCTTGAACAGCGCAGTGGCGTAAGCATTTGTAATGTGTGTGTGTGTGTGGGGGGGGGGGGGGGGGGGGACACATACTGGTAGATTTTGAATAAAGTAGATTCCATTTCCTTCAGTCTGGTGTATTTTAATGGGTTGTTAAACATCTACGTTTACCTACATAAGTAAACACTTGATTCAATGACTATTTTAGAGAGCAGGGCACAACAAGAAGTAACCTGACCAACAGCTCTCTTTGTGGGAATAGAGCACGATCCGCTTCTCTAACGCATCCAAAGACTAAACGTATGCAACCAGAAGTTGCAACATATACATACTGTGATATATATATATATATATATATATATATATATATATATATATTTTACTGGCCTGTTCAAGACTGTCATAATTAATTACACATTTATTCCAAATTCATTCAATATTTAGGCGAATCTAAGGCTTGACAATTGAGTTTCCTTACAAAATACTAATGATGGTTTCTTAATTTTTCAGGGGCACTGAATTAAAATGTAAGGGTGCTTGAGCACCCCCCAAAAAATCACCACTGGTTTTACATAAATGATTACTTTCTGTGAGTTTCAATAAATTTGGTTCAGTTATTCATGAGATATTTTGCCAACAAATAAACCAGCACATACTTTTCAGGCACTACTGTTGTGGCTACAAGTAGTTTCAGAGATTTACTAAATTTTAGATCAAAGTTAGCCCCATTTTAGCTTCAACATCTAATGATATTCAAGTTATTTAAACGCCTCTTCAGCCCAGAGTTGCTTAACAGAGAATCAGTGCTCACTGGTGAGAAATTCTTCAGTGCTAAACTCCTGCTCCTGTTTTTCAAGGCACTACATTGAGTAACATTGCATTACCTGTGCCCTACCTAGTGGTTATCTTAATTATACTCTTCTAATCAATGTAATTTAATCAGCAGATGGCTACTTTAATGAATATGTTTGCCCCATAACATCAATATTGATTCAGGACCAAAAAAAAAAAATCAATTAGAGGAACCCTCATGTGTTTTCTGCTAGTAACAAAATCTCTATCACTACCAGAGTCAAACTCAGAAATGCAAGCTACCACCCTCTATGGTCTTAACTTTAGACCGTACACTACATCGCTGATGCTGGTAGTAACCTTTTGTTGCTGCAGACACCAAAAAATGAAGCCCTCGTCAGTCATTTACATCAGCGTATCAGAGTTTGGTCTTGAGAGAAACGACAAGGCAGCAGTATCTCCTGGAATCTCCAATTAGATTACTGTCTATTGCTTTATTGCATGTCAGGCCTTGTTACCCTTCCTTCAGAGAGATTACAGACAATAGCCATGCTACAAGACACCAAATTGTCCGTGTGAGCATATGCCAAGAAATCTGTGAGCGGGCCGAGGCGTACTGTTTATGAATCCAAAGGCATGTTTGTGGGATTAGCAAGACAGATAACTGGATCTCTTGATTTCTTTCATTTAAATTTTGCTAATTTGTTCTGCACATTTTTGACAAAAATACTATCCCTCCTTTCATCCCTCCCCTTCTCTTGGCAATTATCTCCCTTCCTCCCACTTTTCCATGCTTTGTTCCTTCCACAGAGGCAGTGCCCATGCTGGTAATCATCGGTGGAGCAGTGGGTGGAGGATGTGTTCTGCTCATTTGCATCATCACGCTGGTCTCTCTCTGCTGCAGGCACACAGGCAAAGGTGAGCTCAACGGTCAGTATGGGCAACAGGGGGAAAAGCCTTTTTTTTTCTTCCCCATTTTAAATCAAACAAATACCAACATTTCTGGGCTGAAGATTCAAGAGCTTATGCATGAAAACTCAATTCCTAAAAAGTTGGAACTTTGTGTAAAATGAAAATGAAAACAAAAATCAATGATTTGCAAATCTCATAAACTTGCATTTTATTCACAATCGAGCATAAAGATCATCTGCTGAAACAAAAAAATCGAATGTGTTAGAAAAAGCAAAGTAATTTTGAATTTTATGACATCAACATATCTAAAAAAAAGATGAAACAAGGGCAGCAACAGACTAAATTAAATGGCATAATTAAGAAACAGCTGGAGGAACATTTTGCAACAAATTAAGGCAACATAGCCACATATGTGTATGTGTATATATATATATATATATATATATATATATATATATATATAATTTTTCAGAGGATGAATCTCTCAGATGAGTGGAGGTTCACCAGTCTGTGGAAAAACAGTCTAAAAATATTGGAACAATTTCAAAATAAAGTTTCTCAACAAAATATTGGGAAGATTATAATATCAAAAATTATGAAAAATCTGGAGAAATCTTTGGGAGAAGAATAAGGTCAAAGTTCAAGATTGGATGCTTGTGATTATCAGGCGATCAAGAAGCACTGCATTAAAAACGGGTCAGGTTCTATTATGAACATTACTGCAGGGGCTCAGGAACACTTCCACAAATCAATGTCTATAACACAGTTTGTTGAACCCTCCACAAATGCTAGTCAAAGCTCAATCAAACAAATAAGAAGCCCTATGTGAACACCATCCAGAAAGCTGCCATATGCACTAGGCCAAAATTAATTTAAAATGGACTGAGGCAAAGTGGAAAACTGTTCTGTGGTCAGATGAATCAACATTTGAAATTCTTTTGGAACCCACAAACTCCACATCCACCATACTAATGAAGAGATGGACGGTCCAGTGTGTTATCAGCACAACAGTTGAAAAGCTTGCCTCTCTGATAGCATGGGGGGGTTAAATATGTGCCTCTGGCATGGACTGCTTGCACATTTGGATATGCATCATCAGTGCAGAAAATAACATGTACAAGCTGTAAAACAGCATCTGCTTCTACATGTTTTTCAAAGAAAGTCTTGCATATTTCAGCAAAATTACAATATAATAAATAAATAAATACTCAGCCACACACTAGATCCATTACAACATGGCTTCATAGTAAGAGTGCAGGTGCTGAACTGGCCTGCCTTTGGTCCAGACCGCTCACCAGTTGAAAATATTTGGCGCACCATGAAACCAAAAAGCTGCAAAAGAAAATGATGGAGGGCTGCTGAAGAGCTAGAATCAGACATGAGGATAACACTCCCTTCCAAACAGTCCAGCAGATGGTTTCTTCAATGTTTCGAGTTTTACATACTGTTGTTAAAAGAAGTGGGATACTTCACAGGAATAAACTTAGCCCTATTTAATTTTGAGATTTTTTTTTTGTGTGCGTGTGATTTTTCATATTTCGAGATGTGTTCCTGCCATCAAATTCAAAATTAACTGTTTTTACTGTATTCAAAAATGGTACAGTTTCTTACTTTCATCATTGATATATTTAATATGTTCCAGTGGTAATAAAATATGTGTTCATGAGATTTGTAAATTGTTGTATTCTGTTTTTATTTACGCTCTACACAACATTCCAACTGTTTTGGAATTGGGGTTGTGGTTTCCTCTTGCATTCAAGCAATTCAGATGTGCAAATAAATGCTGGGTAATGTCAACAAAACCCCTTTTTCAAATCCCACAGGAAAGAGGTGCACTCGTCTTTCCAAGAGTGACATTAGAGTTCAGATAGTTCACAGCGATCACAACGCCACACGAGGCAACGACGACGAGGAGGACGTCAAAGAGCCAATGGTAGGTCTATTTTTTTCTTACTTTCTCTCCTACACATGTATCAAACATCTCTGGTGGAGGGAGGCAGAGAGGGGGAGCGCTAACATTAAAATTGCAGCAGAACACTCAGACTTACTTTTGTTTTGACTCAAGTGAGGTCTTGTTCAACCTTGTAATGCTTCAGAAATGTGTGGTTTTCCCCTCAGGCTCCTAACAGCAGCGAGTCTCCAGGGACTTCGCGCACAGAACACAGCGACCTCTTAGAGGAGGAGGACGACGAACGATCGGACATCAAGGTGAAAACACTTGAAAAAGAGTTGCAAGTGGATGTTTCTTTTACTAAAAGATATTTGCATATGAAATGTTAGGATGATTTTAAGTTATGGTTGAATTATTTTTCGGTCTTTCTACACAGGATCCAACCAATGGGTACTACAATGTTCGTGGCCATGACGATCGTCACATCCGGAACAGTGGATTCTCTGAGTATGCGCCCAATACTCGCCCGGTCTACACTCCATCGCAGCTGCCCTCCCCCAGCCCTGTGTATGGTCAGCAGGGCACCCAGCCTCGGATCTACGAATTCAACCATCGCTACGCAACCAACACAGTTAGCAGATCCTCATATGAGCAGCAGCAGCAGCAAGCGGCCCAGCAGCAACCCACACAACCAGCCAGTATATATCCCACAGATCCTCTTTACAGTGGTTCAGCATACCTGCCTGCTACCTACGGCCGTGCCTTCACCAGCTATGTTAAGCCTGCATCCTATGAGAAAGTGGACGCCTATGACCAATCGGACCAAGCTAGTAAGGTGTCTAGCTCGTCTCGCTTTTCTTACGCTTCCTCACAAGTGTCCTCGCAGCAGTCCGACTATGGCCGGCCCTCACAACGCATGCAGACTCATGTCTAAACAGACAGTACATGAAAAATAAAAATAAAATTAAGAGTTACGCACGCCATGCTGATGCGCGGCTGAACTAACATTACCAGAGACATTGTTTGCTGGGACAATCCTGCAAGGTTTAATCTGGACTGAATTTGCAGGATTTAGTGAGTTTTTGGTTTTCTGGAACCAACCTATGATAAAAGCTGGTATGTACGACAACGCTACTGAGAGAACTCCTTCGATGAATAATCCAGCAGACCAGTTAGACTCCGCCGCTCGAACCTGCAGAGATGCTCTCTGAGTGCAACCGGAGGAAGCTGTGTGTCTTACAGTTTGGATGACCTTTTATTCTGCATTCCAGCATTTACTTTAACACTAAATGTGGAAAAAAAAAGACCTCTTGGATACATTGAAAGAAAATACCATAAACTGAGACATATTTGAGGAACAAAAACAACTATTAGGACAGCATTTTTTTGGTCTGTCATTTGGTGTCTTGTTGGCATGCAAAAGGAATTCTAAGCACATTTGTGTCTGTCATCAACAAAAGACTGAGCTATTCACAGAAACAAGCATAAACTATTCTGCACAACAGGCTAGTTGTACCAACCAACGAGCGCTGCAGGAACCGTACTGTATGAAGAGGAATCTCAAGTTGGAAAACATCTGGACAGAGCCATTTCCTGGAGCGTATTGGGATAATAATCATTATCATCATAAGTGTTTTGGATACAGAAGAGGTGCTTTTAAGTGGCTAAAAACAAAGAGATGTAAAGAGAATGTGTATTTCAGCCTTCTTTTAAATGGAGGACTCTGTTAACTTTACAATGTGCTAGATGGACGCAATTGGGGACAAGAGATTCCAAAGATGGTAACAACTGTGTGGGCAAGAAAAAAAATAGGAGAAAACTGCTTTGCTACTACTTGTGCTGTTTCCTGCTGCGTTTTCTGATTGTAAAATGAAGATGTTAACAGAACAATCAAATGTGGCGTTGTTGGAGGGACAGGGAAACTGTTGCCAATCCTGAATTTGACGTAAACTTGAATTTGGTGTCAACTTCAGCAGGTCATGGTGGCGTTTTCGAGGCAGTTCTAATGTGGACCACTCTCTCTAAAGTTTTACAACTCAATCAATTGTCTCAATGTTTACAAAAACAGTACTACCCCGAAAACACTGAGTATCTGTACAAATGGCTGAGCCCATACTTTCTCTCTGTTGCATGCAAACGGTGTGTCTTGTGACAAGTTTTTCAGCGTTTTCCCCATTCATCTACGTTTCGCATTTGAGATGTCGGGTTTCTGTACCCGATCCATTCCACGACTTGGATGTTTTCGTATTGACGACTTGTACTGCCATTTGTCTATTTCTACGAGCTAGTGCCAGGCAGCCTAACGAGAAGACAAACGCCGCTTGAAGGGAGGAGGCAAACATCATCGCTTTGTCTTTTTATTTTTATATTTTCTACAAGCCTTAAAGTACAGCGTGTAAGCTGATCTATTGTAAAGTATCTTTATATACATATCTGTATCTACTTTGGTTGATTTGACTCCACAGATGTTCTTGTCAAAGTTGTTCATCAATCGTTGAATGCAGTTATGCTTTTCATTTTCTTTCCGGAACACGACTAATTGCCATTTATTTGTTCATTCTTATGATTATGTATTAAGAATTTTATTTGCAAGAAATGAGCTATTGTTGCTTGTACCTTTGTACACATATTTATATTTAAATAAAACCATTTCAGATAAAAATTGAAGACTTAGCATTTCTCAAATGCATGTTGCCTGCCAACTTTCGCGCTAGGGTTTTACACTTAATGTTAAAATTGCCATTTTGGTCAAATTTTTAAAATAATTTTGCGATCCAATGCAACATAGTTCCTTCCATCTAATAGACCATATTAGAAATTACTTTCATCAACTATACTATACAAAATTTTAGCTAAATTTCTGTATACAGTAGTCCCTCGTTTATTGGGGGGGTTACGTTCCAGACCCCACCACAATAAGTGAAAATCCTTGAAGTAGAAACGTTATATTTATTTTAGTATTTATATATATTTTAAGGCTTTATAAACACTTCCCCCAATCTTGCCATGTTCTAAACTCTTAAACCCACGTCATTTTAACAACATATGTAAGTACTGTGTATGTAGCTACTAAATTTTACTTACCAGCTAGGCAGAACATCAATGGCTCGGTTACGTTCTTACTCCATTCCAGTCCAACTCCATTCCATTTCTGCAGCAGTACCCTTTAGCAACGAAGCCAACAATCAATGTTCTAAACTCTTAAACCTACTAATTTTAAAAACAGACTTATATATAGCTAGAAAATTGTACTTAGCGCATCCCTGCTTGGAGGTTCTCATGGGCTGGTTGAAAGAGATGAAAAAATAAAGTCCTGATAGGCTCCAGAGAGCGTGCCGGACCTTCAGCAGCGTGCGACCCTCTCAGAAGTCCTCACGGGCCGGCTATCAGCTCTCAAGATTCACGATGGGTCTGGAGGTCTGGTTTTGGTTCGGTTCTGTGGGTTCCGTGTGGCACTTTGCATCTGCTGGGCGCCAAAGTCACTGTAATAAGCGCCAAACTTTTTCCGATCAGATCAAAACTTCCCTCTACGCATTTCAACAGAAGGCAATGGGGCTTCTGGGCAGAGCACTGTTGGCTTCTGGGAAATGTAGTCATTATGTGCAGGGATACAGTGTAGGCATATTGCAAGAAAACTACAAATTGGCAGCTCCTGTCCGTAATATTTTATTTTTTCGTTAACTTTTTACTCCTGTACAGTCCCAGTCATGTGAGTAATATTAGAGTTGACAATCATGTGTCCTGTTGTTCAATCTTACTATGAAAAACCGCGAGAGCGAGCCCGCAAAAATCGAACCGCGAAGTAGAGGGACTAATGTAGCTGTGTTATTGCCATTTTTGCATTTGCAACATCAGTTAGCTGTGGCAGCCATCTTATATTGGATAGTAAATCTGTTATGGATGTACATCCAATGATGACTTTTGAGTTTGATTAAAATCCATTCAGCTGTTCATCAGATATTTATCGAACATGACAGAAAAATCAAGACCCACACACCGATGGGAAGAAACATAATTGCCCACCTTAGCTGAAGTTGACTCTGGTGAATCATAGCAAGTTATCAGTCACTCACTGAGTTTCAAGTGACAAACAAAGCTTCCCATGAAGGAAAAGTGATGAATACATAAATTAGCAGCTCTGTCGGTGTTGATTTTCCTATTCCCCCACTGGTGTTGTGTTTAATGAAGACAGATGAGACAGTAGAACCCCCACTGTACGTGTCTCCTCCTCGAGTCAACATGCCCATTTGGAAGGGTAATAAGACGGAGTTGTGACAAAGGAAAGTATTATTTGGTGATACGAGCTTGTCTTGTCACCGCCGGTCCCCAGGTGTGCTTGCTGCTCACCACCAGAGAGAACTACATTATTACAATTCTACTGAGAGCAAAGGACAAGGCGTCCCAACACATGCATTCATTACGCACAACAAAACGAGACCCCATCAAAGAGAAACAGGTGATTTAATTAGGTCCTGAACAATTTCATAACGGTGTTATTCATTTGTATAAAAACAGATAAAACAGCAAATAAAAGAAATAAAAGGTCTAATATTCAAATCACAGCCTGCACCATTTAAAAAAATGTTTTAAAAGCTGTGGCTTCTCCAACCAATTCTGGTAAGAAGAACACATTTACACTTCCATAGTTTGTCGTTTCCATAATTTTGCATTTTCCGCAGAAACTCATAAAAAAAGGTAACCTGAGAGATATCCTCAATGATTTTATTTTCCACCCTTCAATAAATAACACGTGAAGTTTTTGAGAGCTCATCCAGGACCAAACTGTTCCCGAATGGAGCAAACACAAAAAAGTTGATTAAATTAGTTTGAGACTCCGGAGAACAAACGCAAAAGGCTCAACAGCCACCGATTGGTTTGAACTCTCAGGTGTCTGTGGCTTGAGACACGGATCACCCTGAGCTCAAGTGAAGACACGTGCTAAAGCCAGCTGGACCTCCGTCTTATCCTCCACCCCCCCATTTGAATAGAATATTTAGTCAAATTGTGCACAAATCACACAGGGCCAGCACAAGAGTAAGAATAAATAAATAAACACTGATGGGAATCAGTCCAGCCTCATTATTCAACGACTGCACTGGTATTTTTTTGGATGTTTTAGCTTGCCAATTACAAACTGGGTCTACTTTACTGCTGGCCATTTTCCAAAACAAATAATGGGCTTTTAGATTGATTAATGCATCTTCTGCCTTCCAGGCAGCTTTTGGTTTTCATGCATTTCACCAAAATATGAAAATACTTGTTCAAGTATGCCATTTGTCCTATTTAAAAATAAATATATTTTTGGCTCTTTTAGTTTTTGGCATTTATGCTTAAACCTGCCTGAGTGTGAAGATAAGGTGGAAAATTGACTTGAGCAAGAAAATGTGACCATAAAAAAGTTCAGATAAACAAAATAAGGTTTAAAAACAAGCAATTTGAAAAGGAAATTACAATAAAATAAAAAATAAAAAATAAAAGAAAAACTAAAATAATCACATTAAAAGTTGTATAAAACCCATATTAAAAAGTTAAACAATGGGCAATGGGTAAATTATTCTTATAGCTATAGTTCACATTGCTATAAGTGGGGTTCGGTGGAAAGATTATGAACAGTCAATATTTAACCTGTTGTAAATAGCTTTTTGAAAACCATCAGTTTGGAGAAATAGTTTAATTCTGATCCAACTGATGAGTCAACAGCTAGTCTGAGCTTGGGTCAAGACCAAAGTGGATTGTTTCCATCTTAAAACAACTCCGAATCCACCTTTGCATAATATAGTAAAAAAAAAAAAATTAATTAAAACTGTAGTAAAATTTAAAAAATACCATTTACCTTATATGCTATGAAATTTGAGTTGTTTTAAAACATTGCCAATCCCCATTTGTTTTGGCCGTACCGGTACTTGGAAGAGCCGTTAGCTCATCAATACGGTCAGAACTGAGGCTTTATAGAGTAAATAACAAAATGATAATTGTTCACATTTTCTCCACTTATAAAGATCTGAACTACGTCCTATCCTAAGTTGTTTTCAGATTTGAACACATTTTACAATATAATCAACATACACATGGACTGGACAGATGGGGCATAAACTGCAAAAAAAAAAAAAAAAAAGTATTTAAAATCTATACAAAAATATAATATGTGTAACTTGATTTTAGTGTGTGTATTTGATTGAAGGGACTCGTGTGGGTGTTGGCAACCAAATAAAGTGCTCGAGTAAGCTGAGCCCCAAACAGCACGCTCAGTCTGCTGCTAAAAAGAATAAAACTTGGACTGAATAATCTTGAACCAAATCAAAAAGTCCCGTTTTTATTTTTAGCCCTTGGATGTTGCCCGCCCTCAATGTCATCATCATCAAATTCCTGCCTCCTGTTTGATCCAGTCTCTCAGCTTGGTGATGCGCGAGTAGACACCAGGCTTGTTCCGACGTGCGCAGCCCTCACCCCAGCTCACTATGCCAGCCTGGAACCATTTCCCACTTTCCTCGAAGCACACCAGGGGGCCTCCGGAGTCTCCCTGGTGAGCACAGTTGGGTGTGGGGGAAATGGTCATTAGACTGACTTTAGATGTGAGCGTGCTATAATTCCATGGGCGTGAAAACCCATCTATAGCAGCACATTTTCATTCCTTTCCTTTCCTGTAAAACAATGGCGCAATCTCACCTGACACGCATCGACTCCTCCAGCCAAGAAGCCGCTGCAGAGCATCCTGGATGTGACTTGGTTTTCTGTGACCGTATTGCAAACCGTGTCATTGATGATTTTCACCGATGCCTTCTGGAGGGTCATGGCCAATTGTCCTGCAAGAGCACATAGAAAAGGGTCGGTACTTTGATACATCACCTCTCTGTTCATAGCATCAAAGGTGCTAAAGGGCTGGAATAGTGTTAATCAACACAGGTTTACGAAACTTCCCAAGAGTGCCGAAATCTGCTGAATTATGGAAATTCAAGAAGGCATAAGTGAAACAGATAAGAGAAGACGAAGGCGGGATAACTGATCAGAAGACATATGTTATGATGAAAGTGGCAAAATATGGCAAAGACATTAATGCAGAAGAAGATGGCATGATAAAATAAGGAAGAGATGAAGGAAAGGAACTGCCTGCATGGAGGAAAAGATGGAGGACAAATCTCTGAGAAGGATGGGGAAGTAGATTTTTTAACTATGACAAGAAAGAACAAAAAACATCTCACTGGTAATTCCAGACTATCAAAATTAAACAGGTTAAAATTGCAACAATAAACAGCATTAAAACTAAATAGGCTTCATTTATTCTGAGGATTCCTGCTCAGTACCTGCTTCCCGGAGCGCTCCCCATCCCGTGACCCAGCATGACATGCCTGCTGGGAAGACATGGGAGGAAGATGGTAGGCAGATTGGTTGGATGGTGTTGCTAAACACCAGTGGCTCACTGAGCTCCAGAAGTGCAATGTCATAGTCATAGGTCATCTGGCTGTATAACGGGTGGGTGATGATCTTCTTCAATTTACGCTGCTGAGCATCAGAGATCTTGTACTGGTACTGCAAACCACTGTATGTTATCCAGTTAGATGGAATCAGGTTGCTGTAGATGAACAAGATCAAAGGGAAAAGTGTTGATTTGAATCACGCAAGAAACAAATGAACGAATTGAAGCACCATCAAAGTCAATCAGGACTACTACTGCACATTTCATTTAAAGCTACATTTTAAATCACAGTTCAGAGCTTTTGAAGCGTGGTTCTTTGGCAAGATTATGAACAATTAATACCTTATCTGTTGTTGATAGACCTTTGAACATGGGTTTGGAGAAACGGGTTAATTCTGATGAGAATGACAAGCTGATGGCTAGTCTGAGCAGGGCTCAAGTCAAGGTGGATAACTGCAACCTTGAAGGTGATTTCTGAGGTGATGTACAGTCACATCACATCAGTCATAGCACACAGCATAAATATGAAAGAAAGGGCAGAAATCTTTAATGGTTAGCCAAACGCAGGCCCTATTTATATTATAATTTAGGCTATTAAAACAAGCTGGCATGAAAAAATAAAACTACAGTAAACTCAACAATTTTTAGTCAGGTCATCTGGACAGTTTCTTTTTATTTGTGCGCTGAAATGTTTCACCTTCCATCCAGAAGGCTTCATCAGTCAAGGAAACACACAACACAAAACTGATTATTCCCCCAACAGCTTACTCCAAAGTGGAACAAATCACAGTAAACTCAATTTCTCCAAACATAGGTCATTCAAAGCGCTATCTAAAACAGGTAAGATATTAACGGTTTATAACCTTTCATATTCTAGGTTCAAAATTTTGAACTGCCCCTACCAGGGCCTTCAGTTTTATAAGTTTACCAAAATAACTGTGAAAAGTAATTCAAAACAAAACTAGCACATCAAAAAAAAAAGTCAAAGTCAACTTTATTGTCAAAACTGCAATATGTACAGGACATACACAGGATTGAAATGTAGCATGTAGCAATTATTGAAAAAACACCTAAATGTTTAAGTGTTGCCAAATAGTGATTCACTTGTTAACATCCATCCATTCATTCATTATCTTTTACTCGCTTCTTCCATTTTGGGTCACGGGGGTAGCTAGTGCCCATGTCCAGCAATCACTGTGCGAGGGGTGGGGTACACCCTGGACAGGTCTCCAGTCCATCACAGGGACACATAGAGACAAACAAGACAAACAACCATTCACTCTCTCACTCACACCTAGAGACAATTTAGAGTTACCAATCAGCCTAACATGCATGTTTTTGGTCTGTGGGAGGAAACTGGAGCACCTGGAGAAAACCCACGCATGCACGGAGAGAACATGCAAACTCCACCCAGAAAGGCCCCCGGGCTGGGATTTGATCCAGCAACCTTCTCACTGAGAGGCAGCAGCTCTACCAGTTGCGCCACCATGCTGCCCAAGTAGCTAAACATGTCTGCAAAATCTCTAATTACTTATGACACTACTAAAGAAATGTACATTTTTCCTGTAACATGCTTATATCACCAATTCTGAATTTGAATGATCCACTGATGTAAATCATGGTCAAAGCAGCTCATGTGAGCAGCGTGTTTAGAGCACCACCAACAGGAATCTAAGATGAACAAGACACACGAGGCTGAACTGTGAAGCTTTATCACACGTGGTGCATCAAAACTTTAAATTACATTTTCTTCAGGTGCCCCCTTCCTCAGGGGTCACCACAGTGAATTAACTCGCACAAAGACTTGGTTTTTGTTTTTACACCAGATGTCCTTCCTGACACAACCACAGACCACCGAGCTACCACAGCCCTCTGTGTGGCGCAGAGAGCTGGGCACCCAGGGGAGCAGATGGTGGGAATAAGGGCCTTGCTCAAAGGCTCATAGTGAGGCAGAAGAGGGTGGAGGCAGGTGTGAGTGCTTCACCTTTCCCACCCACATTTTGATTGTCGGTCCAGGGAGTTGAACAGGCGATCTTCCAATCACAACTTTATTGAAAAGTTGAATTTATATGGCAAAAATGTATTTTATACTAAATACTCATTACGTTTTGTACGTGTCTGTAAGAGCTGGAGGTCTGGAACTTACTCAGAGGAGTGGGTGACAAAGCAGTGGGAGGCCGAAAGAAGCCAGCGGTCAGAGAGGATGGAGGCGCCGCAAACATGCCCCGCTGTCATGAAGTGAAGGCTGACCTGCCACGGCCACTCCCCAAGTTCAGCATTCTGCCCTCCTACGATGCGATTCAGCTTGTAGGGCCGTGTGCCACAGTCTGTAACTCAGCAGATAGTGCGCTTAAAGAAAGTGGGACGCTGGAGTGAAAAAATGCAAAGTAAGACCGATCAGTGAAATAAATGTGAAAATGAGATTAACTTTTTCTGAGGTGCTCATGACACAAATATTGGCCGTGAGTCTTTGGGATACTAATAAGACACACTGGCATACTGACAAATAAAAAAAAAGAAAAAAGAAAATGAAATGCAGACACGCCCTGAGGCTTAAATGAAGAAAAAAATTAAATTAAAAATTAAAAACTTCAGACATGGCAAGAGCAGTCTTCAAAGAAGAATGAAATAAATAAACAGCCAAAGCCTCCAGGCTTTTTCTTCCTCTCCCTAACAGGCGTGTGGCTCAACCTCACTTCTATAATCTAGTTTGAATGACTGACAAGATTAGGTCCACTTTCAGCTATTTTTTAAAAAACAGGTGAATCTTGTCAGTGCAGAAAAAAAAAAAGATTAATAATTTCTCACCACAGATGGCCTCGTCTGATTTGTCGGCGCAGTCACTGACGCGGTCGCATTCAGCGTTCACCTTGTTGACACATTCACCGCTCGCACACTTGAAGCTAAAGTCGGAGCACAGATCTGGGGCTGTGGAGGTGGTGGGGGGGGGGGGGGGGAGACAGGTTTCAAAGTGAAAACACACATTTAACCAGTAAAATACTGTGCAATCAGCGAGGCTTCAAAGTGAGGCGTGAACGCACAATGCACAGTGATTGAGGAGCAGATTGCATTGATTGGGCGTATTGATTGGGATTAAGGTCTAATATCCCTCTTTATTCACAGACGTGAAAATCAAAAGGAAATGCAATCGTGCCCTCTGTGTGCGTCTGTGACTGGGAGACTGAATCAGGGGGAAACTGATGAAGAGTAAAGGAGAAGAAAATGAAACAAGAAACAAAACAAAAAAAAAAACTGTGCAAAAAGAAAATTACTTTGAGTTTAACAGCTTCGTTAAGCTTACAACCTTTTTGTAATGTTCTGTGTAATGTGATTTTAAAACATTACTCTCATCGAGACTTTCAAGAGGGCACAAGCTGGCTGGGAAAAAAGTATTACCACTCACAGGCTTTACAAGAGGCCTCATCACTTCCGTCCTCGCAGTCTTTCCTGTTGTTGCAGACAACATCTTGAGGGAGGCAAACGCCGTTCCCACAGCGCCACTCGTTTGGATCACAGCCTACAGTCAGTAAAACATATTATGTTTTTGATATCTTTCCTGTTGTGGGTATCTTTTGGTAGTTTTTACCTTTCCAGACACATTCACTCAACACTCTACTACAGCCCTACAAAGTATAGCTGAATAAATCATGTAGAGCCTGATCAGTGCTTTAGATTACAGTAGTCCCTCGCTACTTTGCAATTCGACTTTTGCAGACTTGATCTTTCACGGTTTTTCAACGTAAGATTGTACATGACAAAAAAAAAAAAGAAGAGTGTACACGATACACAATTGTCAACTTTAATATTACTCACGTGACTGGGACAGTACGGTAAAATACTGTAAAAAGTTAAAAAATAAAAAAAATACTTAGGACAGGCGCCACCATTTTGTAGTTTTCTCTCAATAAGCCTATACTGTATCGCCAGTCAAAAGAACTACACTACCCAGAAGCCTACAGTGCTTCCAGCCTCTGCTTTCTGCCAAAATGGAGGGAAAGTTTTGATCCGATTCAAACCTGACCAAAAAGTTTGGTCCTTATTCATAGTGACTATGGCGCTCAGTGGCTGCAGAGAGCCGTACAGAACTGACCGGAAATTGGACCGGGACTACATTACTTCCACCCTCATCGGTCAATCTGAGCGCTGCTTGCTGGCCCATGTGGCCTCTCGAGCAGGGAGGTGTTACTTAGATGTCCGGTGATTTCTCCAGTGCTCACCAGGACTTTTTTCATCCAGATTTCTCTGGATTATTTGGACTCGATCGGGACCATTGTGTGGTTTTGTGCCGGCTATCCGAAGATCCGGCTCTCTCGAAAAGCGTCTTGGTGCTCAGTGGCTGCAGAGAGCCGATCAGAACATGACCAGAACTGGACCAAGGCTGTACTGTGCCCAGATAAAATTTTGCAGTACTGTACAGTACATATACATATGTTGTTAAAATGACATAGGTTTAAGGGTTTAGAACATTGCAATAGTGTGAGAAGGGTTTATAAATCCTTAAAGTGTATATAAATACTCAAATAAATACAGCACTTCTACTTAGCTGTTTTTCACTCATTGTAAAATTATCACTTACGTTTCTGGAGAGTAATTAACCCCCATGATAAATGAGGGACTACTGTACATTCATACACAGATGGGGAACATCAGAGGCTGAAGCAGTTAGCTCCTTAGTCTGGTCAGAACTAAAAAAGCATTTCCCCAGACTGGGGCCATTCAAAGATCTGTCTCCGATGTTTGATCCCCTTTCCACAGAACCTTACTTCAAACAAAACAAACTTTTGATTTCATGCTATCCCAGTTATTGCAAAAATTAGGCTTTGATGGACAAAATTGTTCCTCCAAGTGATGGGAACCCTTACTGCATTGTTTCTCGTCGCTCCCGTCTCCACAGTCGTTGACACGATCACACACCCAGAGCTTTGGTTTGCACAAGCCGTTCGCACAAGAAAACTGGTCGCTGTCACACTCTGTAAAAAAAGAAAAGAAAACCAAAACAGAAATTGTGTCAAACACATAAATAACTTGTACAAACAAGTGCTTTAAAACTTTAATCACTGGTTCAGCCGCATTAGACAGTAATTACAGTCCAGACAGTGAAAAACTGCATATTTAGCAAAAAAAAAAAAAAAACATAATTTCTATGAATAATCAAAGCTCCCTGCATAACATCCTCAGAGTGGTTAATTTAATAAGTGTACTGGAGGGAGTTTAACAAGACAAGTTTTAGTAAGTTGCAGCAGCATTTTTATTAGCACTGAATGATTTCCAAGAGTCTTGTAACATCGCACTGAAAAGTGGATAAGATGTGATCTTACTCATTAAAACCACTGCTTGTCATTTTTATGCTCCTCAGATTTTGTTATCTCAGGACAGATGCAGGGTAAGTGTCTCCCCCCCCCCCCCCCCCCCCCCCCCCCCGCCTCCCCTTCTCTCCCTCTGCTTCCAGCCATTTTGCTGAGCTAAGCTAACCGACTGTTGGCAACGAATCATATGAAAGTGGTATCAGTGTTCTTATCAAACGCTCAGCAAAAACACATAAAAAAAAAAGAAAATTCAAATGGCAAATTTCTTTAAAGAAATAAGAGAAGGGTTTGAAAAAAGATGAGACCAGTTGAGAAGGGGAAGGAAAGGAAAACGTGTTTGGGTCGGCTTACTGCAGTTTGCCTCGTCGCTCATGTCGCCACAGTCGTTCCAGCCGTCACACTGTAGTGATTTAGCGATGCACATGCCAGTCTCACAGGCAAACTTGTCTGGACAAGCTGCTCACAGAACAGAAAAAAAAAGACGGAACAGTAAAGATAATATAGGACAACATCACAGCAAGATCATTACAATTATAAACTCATTTTCATATAATGTGGAACATTAAAAGCAGCATCCTCCTGTCCGACAGCTCAATTCAAACTGATTCGTCAAACTTCTGTTGAGCCCGGATCAAACTCCTCTGTGAGTCATCCTCCTACTACTGTGTGCTTTGGTGACATACCAACAGAGTCACTGTCATGTTGCAGCATTTCATCCATCGTACAAACTGCAGTGAGTGTTGGAGCGAGAAAAATAAAGATTTAACTCACGGTTTTTAGGATCGTAGGCGCTGTACTCTGCACTGAAGCCTTTGTCTGTGAAGGACTCGTCTGAGTGAAAGACCACTTCCAGGACGTTCGAGTCACTGGTCAGAGCCAAATTAGACAGTTCTCCACAATACCTGGGAAACACACACACAAAAACAGTTTTAACACAAGCTGAAGCAGTTGGGGAGAATTTCAATTTGCTGATAAGATAATTAAGATAAAGAACCACAAATAAACCAAGCAAACAAAATAGAAAAAAATAATAGTCAAACTTAAATGAAAAAGTTAAAATTGCCTAATATTTGAGAATATTTTTTTGCTGTATACTGGACAAAGCTAAAATTTTTTAATTTATTCTATATAAATTACAGTAGTCCCTCGCTATTTTGCGATTCGTTCATCGCGGATTCGCTCTATCGTGGTTTTTCAAAATAAGATTGGCCATGACACACAATTGAGTGATTAATGGGTGAGCCACACGATCGACATGATATTTTTATTTAAAATAAATTATTTTAAATTATTTAGCACCTGCTGCACATTTGTGCAGTCCAGAGATGCAGAAAAAGCTTCCTCCTGATGCTTTGTGCAGCCCATACAGGTGCAGGATAAACTTCCTGCTGCAGCTGAACTGATCAGATGTTCACGTGCAGAGTGGAGAAGTGGGCGTGGCCAAAAGCACTAGCAGGTGGCAAAGAGCAGAGGAGGCAGGGAGCTGAAATCATGACATTCTGTGCTCTTTCAGAGCGTTTAGAGTTTAGAAACATTGTTTAGAATATTGCAAGAGTGTGGGAAGAGTTTAAAATGTGTATATATATATATATATATATATATACATATATATATAATTACATATTGGTATAACTATTCCAACTTTGCAGTTTTTCACTTATCACGGGTCTTCAGGATACGGATCCCCCGTGATAAATGAGGGACTACTGTAATTAGCTAAATAGAGCCCTTTGTAATTTCAAATCACTGGAATGCCACTTTAATTGGATATTTGACACTTTATCTGTGCTGTTGATTATCCATGCTGCTGGTTTATTACCCATAAGCTGCTGTATTCATACCCATCTGCTCACAACAGACTCATGTTCAAGCTGCTGTTTAATGCACCGTATTATATTATAATTGTTATTGTATAGATCCTTGTATACTGTTCATTTATACTTTATATATGTTGCTTTTTTGGGTGTAACTGGGACCTTGAGTACACAATTTAGTTCCACCTCATGTCATGCGAATGACAAAGTCTCCTTGAACCGTTTTGTAGTTGTGAACAGGTGTGAAGAAAATTTAACTAAAACTTTTTCATATTATTCAACGTGTTCTGACAAGAACGTTCATAAATTTGTTCTACAAAATGTCAGCAAAGGCCAGTGTTTTACTTTTTTAAAATAAATATAATTTTCTCCATTAATGTTCCAATATTTTTCACCGTGAACTCAGTTTGTGAGTGGACAATGAATTGCTAATGCAACCAACCATGTCCATTGTTTTTAAACATCCACAGCAGTGTGGAGAGGGTTTTAATCAGGTGTTTGGTGAAAACATCCAAATGAAAACTTTATTGAAAGAAACATATCTGTAAATGTTAAACCTTGTCTGCATAAGTGGTATTTTTTGATGGAAGTAACCATAAAAAATTATGCGGCACTGTGGCGCAGTTAGTAGAATGTCTCAGGGAAAAGGCTGCTGGATTGAATCCCGCCCCGGGACCTTTGTGTGTGGAGTTTGCATGTTCTCTCCGTGCATGCGTGGATTTTCTCCGGGTACTTCAGTTTCCTCCCACAGACCAAAAACATGCATGTTAGGCTGACTGGTAACTCTAAATTGTCCCTAGGTGTGAGTGAGAGAGTGAATGTTTATCTCGTTTGTCTCCATGTGTCCCTGTGATGGACTGGAGACCTGTCCACGGTGTACCCCACCTCTGAGTGCCCCCGAAAGGAAGAAGCAGATAAAGATTATGGATGAACTTTTTTTAATTACACCTTTTAACTAATGTATTTCAACTTTTTAAAACGTATTGATTACTTGTCCGTTTAGCACGAGAACAATCTACAAATCCTCTCACCCAGGTTCGGTTTTATGTGTTGGTCTTTGTTTCCTGCACCACCTGCCACTGAAACACATTCACAGAGGAATAAATTATGTCTTACTTGGTATTCATGATTTCCACATAGTCTTTGTGACACCTACGGATGTCAACCCCCGGCTCCTTCATGCGGAACATGCTGAACTTTATCCGGACCTTTAACCCACTACTGACCTGTAGTACAGAAGAACCGGTGACATATTGATAATCGTCTTATTTACCAAGCATGTCCTGTACACACACACCTGTCTTACATGCATCTCATACAAAGGCAAACATACGAGCTTCAATATATCAACAGTGGTCACGAGTGAGCACACACAGGTGCATCCCCCTGCATGTGTGCTACACACAAACAGCTCACTCCGAGCACTGCAGCCCTGCAGCAGTCTGACAGATGAAGATAGAAGAGGTACTGAACAGCTTGGCTTCAATAGTGCCATCTCAGCATTCCTCTCATAGCAGGCTAAGGATTGTGGAGAGAGGGGAAAGTGATGGGGTAAATCAAAGACGAGAGGCAGGAGGAGAAGTGTTGCAAACCTGGATGCTCCACTTGCAGTCTATAGCGGGCGGATAGAAGATGGGGTGAAGCGGTGACGTGAAGTTTCCACTGGATTTAGAGAGGACGCCGCCACACTTTTCAACTGAAATGGATCATTTTAAAATGCAATTCATAATAATAACATAATGCATAACATATCTAACAGGATGAAGTGCAAAGAAAATTTGAATCGTTCGAACGAGCTGCAGGACTCCTATAGCGTATCGATGAAACATGGACGTCAAGTGCTGTGATGCTTATTTACCTTCAGTTTTAGGGATGGCTTTATACTCGGCTTGAAAACCCGGCTTCTGGACATTAGTGTCAGCAATGAAGCTAATCAGCAGGATGTTACCAGATGACATTACCATCAGGGGGTTGGAGGGAGGCCTTTGCCCACATTGTCTGGGTGAAGGGAAAAGGAGGAGTGAAGCAAGCGGATGAACACATCAGACGAATTTCACAAATCAGAAAATAACGTTTTCCTAACTACTTTCAGCATCAAGACCATGAAGAATTGGCTAAATATTTGACATCTTTTATACAGCTGCATTTCTTTTTAGTTGGGCGCATTCAAACACCGACTCATCAAACAAACGTAAACAGGAAGGAAAAAATGATTTTAGAGAAAAATCAATGGATAAACACTCAGCAGAGAAAGCAATAAATAAAGCAGAGAGGTGCCAGCACTTAGGAGAAATTGCTTAGGTGGAATTTCTAAGTCAAATATTAGTTACATTAACAAAAAAAAAAAAAAAAAAAGTTTTATCAATGCTGGTGGCAGAGCTATAAAGGTGGGGAACGATGATGCAAGAGCAGCAATACATCTACCTCCAGTAGGATAATGTCATCATGGAGAATGATTTTCTGCTTCATCAACTTCACGTCACCTTGAATGAAGCCGATTGCTCAATAGCGTTAAAAAAAAAATTTTGTTTTACTTTGTTACATATATTTGTTTGCCATTGGTTTTTGAGTTTCAAACTGCTTGCAGCTACAAATAATGTTGCGTTCAAAAGCTTATAGATTCATTAAAAAATACAAATAAAATAACCTCCCCCAAAGACAAAATGCAATTGCACACAGTGCAGGAGTCCAATTCAAGATGGCACTTTTACCAGAATTGAAAAGAGAGGTCTTTTTGAGTCAACTCAATTTCACCGAGGTCTCTAAAGCTGACAATAAAAGGAAGACACAATGCAAAAGGCAGCAGAGGCATAAAAAAAAGAACAACAACATTGTAATCACAAGTCTAGAGAAACAAATGAAGTGAAACATGTTCCTCCCACATAAAAACAGCTTTTATTCCAGGTAGCTCAGCAACGTTTCAGTCAATTTAAAGTGAATCCTGGAGGTTTCTTTCTCTCTCTGATCTTCTAGGCTAAATTAACGAGACAAATGTTTGTTGAAGGCCATCAAATAAATCTTGCTCTGAATGTTTGAAATAAAATGGGGATATGAATTCCATCGCAAGTTGATGCACTAAAGCAAGATGAGGGAAATCCTCATTGAATTTTTTCTCGTAAAATCTGAGCAGCATATCAAGCTGATAGTTCCGATCTATGGAGTGGGGAGTTTTAGAGTACCATCCTTGATCGTCTTATGAAAAACTAATATCTTACCTGTTGCAGAAATCTCTTTGAATGACCTCAGATTGGAGAGAACTAGTTTAATTTTGACTCAACAGAAGTTAACTTTTCACTTAAAAAACAATAGCGACAGCAACAGCTAGTGGAGGCACTTCTGGAGCAGCCTGCAACATGTCCTGCAATAATATTTTATTTTTGCTGAAGTAACCATCTAGTTTAAAAGCAAGAATCATGTAAAGGTTTAACAACAGAATTTGAATGAATTGCTATGACATTTCTGAAACTATTTTAAGGCAACATCCCACTGAGCTTGGCAGTGCTTGGACTAGCCCTTATCTCATTAGTTGTCAGAAATAAATCCTCTCTCTTTACACTGAGATCAAACTGCCATCTAAAACAGGTAAGATATTAATTTTCGCAACCTTTTTCCACAAACCACAAGTTCAAAAAATCTGATCACACAGATTAAATCATGAGATTAAATGACAAATTAAATTAAGGGGCGGCTGTGGCCGAGTGGTTAGAGCAGTCGTTCTCCAATGCAAGAGATGGAGGTTTGATTCCACCAGCAGTCACATGCCAAAGTGTCCCTGGGCAAGGCACTAAACCCCTCATTGCCTCTGATGTACCGTATGTCCCATTGGTGTATGAATGTGATAAAACACTGATTAGAGTGCTTTATGAATGGGTAAATGAGTAAAGCATTTTGAGTATCTTGATAAGATAGAAAGGTGCTATCTAAGTACAGCCCATTTAAACCTAAAGAAAGCATCTTTCTTTCACTTTCACCATGAACACGCTTCCTAAACCTACTTACTTTGTGATGGTCTGAGACTGATCTGGACTCAAAGAGTCGAAGACGGCGACAAAGTCGTTGGAGCAATCATCTTCAATGTCAAAAGATGGAAAACTGACAGAGATGGCGTTCTCCTCCGAGGCTCGGATTTGCCACTGACACCGTGATCCAGAGGGGTAGCCTTTTGGGTAGCCCACGGATGAAAACTTTTGTACTTCCTCAGCAGCTTCCAGATGTAAGAAGCAGTCCTCTGAGAAGGAGAACAACATGGCTTAAAGGGACAAGTAATGTAATATGTAATAATTTCATGTGAATCTGTCTAATTATAACACTAAAAACACACTGTCAAAGAAAAGTGTCAACACAGTGACCGAGTTATTCTGCCCTAATACAAAGATGGCATCTGTGACATGACCAGCACCTGTACAGTACAGGACAGAGTCATTTGTTACAGGCTGGCAGGAGGGTGAGCATCTAGCCAGCTGGAAAATTACAGCCGCGAGTGACTGAAGTGAGACATTGTACTCACCAGCTTGAGGGCTCCTGGCCATACGTGGATCTGTGACTGGAGACAGCGACATGGGGTGGGGTGACAAGGAAACAGGAGGAAAGGTGAGGAAGGGGTCACTAGAGTTAGGAGGCTGATCAAGTTTGATGCATGAGCCTAAAATATTTGGGTTGCACATTTTCTCTTCCTTTTCCCTGCGGTTCAAGGAACTGGTGACGACTCTTTCTGCTCCATCTCACCTTGTCCTACAGCAGCAACTCATGCATCTCGGTCTAACTATCTGGGACAGAAACATCAAATCATACTCGTTGAATTCATTTCAAAGACGACCAAAACCACTAAAGTCACATGGCCGGCGCTTGGCTGACAGCCAGCGTGTCGACAAATGAATCGTGAATGCTGAGAAGACAGAAGGAAGAAAAATGGCTGTCTTGAGGCAGGGCCAGGGCCCGGTTAATATCATTAGAGGATCCAAACAGCATAAAATGTGCAATCTCAGATGCAGCACAAGCTGAGAGGTCTGGCTTATCTGTTATCATCTTATCAGCACAACTCAGAGCAAGCCACTATGCTGTGGATACAAGACAGGCAGAAAATGCTTACAGGACATGACAATGACCTTATTTAGATCAGTTTTCTGAATATGCTCTTTCCTGATTGGATATAATCTATTGAAGCCAGATGTAACAAACATTTTAAACATCTTTCTCACCATTACCTGAGCGCACACACAGAGGGTACTTACGTGAAGCAGTGATTTTCCTAATCTTGACATTATTGAGGCTCATCCTGCTGTCCGGTTCCTGAATGCTCTTCTCCAGTGCGTTCAACACACGCTCCTCTGAGAACTCGGGTACAAGCTCCAGTTCACCGACTGGAATATAGAACTGGGACCAGTAATAGGCATTCACACCTTCACTGGTATTATCAGAGATAGAAAAGAGAAGGACAGAAAACTGTTTATTAACAAGAGATGAAATTCTGCGGCACCGCAGACACTTATATGTGTGTGTATATACCAGTATGTATACTATTTATAGTATACATATATAGTATACATACTGATATCTATATATATATATATATATATATATATATATATATATACATACATACATACACACACACACACACACACAGGTCCTTCTCAAAAAATTAGCATATTGTGATAAAGGTCATTATTTTCCATAATGTAATGATAAAAGTGAAACTTTCATATATTTCAGATTCATTGCACACCAACTGAAATATTTCAGGTCTTTAATTGTTTTAATACTGATGATTATGGCATACAGCTCATGAAAACCCAAAATGCCTGTCCCAAAAAATTAGCATATTTCATCCCACCAATGAAAGACAAGTATTTTTAATACAAAAAACACCAACCTTCAAATAATCATGTTCAGTTATGCACTCAATACTTGGTCGGGAATCCTTTTGCATGAATGACTGCTTCAATGCGGCGTGGCATGGAGGCAATCAGCCTGTGGCACTGCTGAGGTGTTATGGAGGCCCAGGATGCTTCGATAGCGGCCTTAAGCTCATCCAGAGTGTTGGGTCTTGCGTCTCTCAACTTTCTCTTCACAATATCCCACAGGTTCTCTATGGGGTTCAGGTCAGGAGAGTTGGCAGGCCAATTGAGCACAGTAATACCATGGTCAGTAAACCATTTACCAGTGGTTTTGGCACTGTGAGCAGGTGCCAGGTCGTGCTGAAAAATGAAATCTTCATCTCCATAAAGCTTTTCAGCAGATGGAAGCATGAAGTGCTCCAAAATCTCCTGATAGCTAGCTGCATTGACCCTGCGCTTGATAAAACACAGTGGACCAACACCAGCAGATGACATGACACCCCAGTGACTGTGGAAACTTGACACTGGACCTCAAGCAATGTGAATTCTGTGTCTCCTCTCTTCCTCCAGACTCTGGGACCTTGATTTCCAAAGGAAATGCAAAATTTACTGTAATCAGAGAACATAACTTTGGACCACTCAGCAGCAGTCCCAGGCGAGATGCTTCTGACGCAGTCTCTTGTTCAAGAGTGGCTTGACCTGGGGAATGC